ACATTAATTAAATAAAGGGGACTAGAACTGTCAATTGTGCGATAGTTGAATATTGGGCTAATGGACTCCCTAGAAGTTGGAGTGGACGAAATCTATGGGGAAACCCATTAGAATTCGTCCAAGACTTCTAAGGAGGGAGTTCATGGGCTGCTTAGGGCCTAAGCAGTCAGATTAGGGTTTCCTAGTTCAAAACCCTAATAGTCTCACTATATAAGGAACCCCTAAGGCCCTAAAAACGTGTGGAAGTAATCCCTAAGGGATCTTAGTCGTTTTTGGTGCTCCTCCTCCCTCTCATAAGTCATTCTCTTGTTTGTGGTGTTTGTAAGCCATTAGAGGAGTGACATTTGTGATTCTAAGCTCCAAGACAAGAAGATTCAAGCCATTCTTGTAAAGGTAATCATCTAGATCTGATCTTATATGATAATTTCGAAATATGTATGCTAGATCTAGGGTTTATAAGCTTTGGATGGTTATTGCATGTTCATTAGACAAACTAGATCCAAAAGCTTTAGGGTTTGCATGTACACCATAGGATTGATGTAGTGCTCAAAACCCATCAAATTTCGCCCCCAGGTCTATTTCACCCCTGAGTCCCTTCCGACTCAATCGGTATTTTTCAACCGAACGATCCTATTTCAACCCCAGTCCTACTTCACCCTAGAATCCCTTCCAACTCAATCGGTGTTTTTCAACCGAACGGGTCTATTTCACCCCCACGTACATATAGCATTCAGGCATACAAGCATACAACAAGAGTCATAAATACAGCAAGCACATACGACACCTAGTGTCCTATAGTATAATGAGAAGACTCACCTCAATCGATAACAAAAAAAACTCTCACACTTGAGCTGCGGGTCCAAGAATCTCCTCACACTATATATATTAAAACCAACCCTAATTAAGAATTAAGGTAATAATAATAATCAAAGGTCCATAACTTACTTTCTCTCTCTAGGGTAAAAGACCAATTTACCCTTTCAAAGCTAATCCCAACCGAACATGGCCCAAGGCCTAAAAATGACCCAATTCCACTTTTGGTAGTACGCAATGCATACTCCTTCCATATGTTGTACGTACCAAGTTTCCACAGAAAATGGGGCAAAGCCCCGTTACGCGCAGCGTACTCATGGGTTACGCCCTACGTAATCCTCTACTTCATAAACTTCCTCATTAAGTCCTTAATTCTTAAAGACTAAACTTAGAACTCATAGATCTTAATCTAAGGGAAGTCCTAAAGGATAAAGTCGTCGACTTTAAGCTTTTTCATGGCTTAAAAGAGCATAAAATCAAGCCCTAGATCCAAAATACACTCCAAGGTCTAATATCTCATGGATGGAAGAATGGGAGTGTCCAAGTTCCCATTTTTATGACTTAAAACCCTTAGGAATGACAAGATATAACAATCATAAGCTTTGGAGTAGTTTTCACTCACAAGAACCAAAACCATGGGACCAAAAGCATGCAAAAATCTAAGCTAACCTAGATCTAAACCAAGGAATCATAAAGGCTCAAGATTTATACCTTCTGAGGCTTGAAAATGGGATGAAAGTTATGGATCTTCAAGCTCTAAGCTCACCAAGGCTCCTATAGTGGATCCCTTCTTCACAAAACCCACAAAAACTCACTTAAAATGCTTAAGATTTTCACAAAGTAGTTAGGGCTCGAAATGATTGTTGTGGGGTAAGTGGAGGTTGAACATGAAGAGGCCTCAAGGGTCTTAAGGTGTTTAAATAGGGTCTCAACCCTAAAATTTAGGTTTTTGTAATCAGCATGAGTACGCCCTGCGTACTCCTTATGTACACCGAACGCACTCAATGAAGTCCCCACCATCTTTAATGAGTTACGCACAATGTATACATAGTGTACGTCTCGCGTAAGGACCAGTTTGCAATATTTTGATACCTTGAGCTAAAACTGAAAATACCTGGAAAATCAGGTGTTACACTTCAACTTCGACTCTCTGTTATCTTTTAATGAGCGAAGAAGCTACAAAATTCCTAGATCTTTTTTGAAAATATGACTTTCAAAAAATTTATGCACAAATACAAGATAGGATTGATATTTTGATGAAGAAGACGACCGATTTGAAATTTCAGGCATTCAAACAATCAACAAATTGACAATTAAATCCATAATAACAAGTTCATATCAGAAAAAGAATTATGTATTATAAGCAAAACCTTATGGGATTAAAGTGTTTATAGAGCACGATTGATCTATGAATGAAGTCAACGGTGTAGCGCCTCCATACTCCACTGGTGTCAATGTCGGATTCAGAGGCAATCTTCGGTAAGTATCGAGGGTGGAGGATTGGAGGTTTCACGCGACAAAGTTCGCGAAGGGAGTGGCGGAATCGAGTGTTGATTTTGGGAAAGGATGTAGAGATGTTGTGAGATAGAGCATATTTAGAGATGATTTGTTCATTATGAGAAATTCTGGAGGTCCGTGTAAGGTGTTGTTTGTTTTTTGAAGCAAAAATTCAAAAAGTCTGCAGACCACCTCTGCAACCCCTACATCATAAGAGGTGGACTAAACGGTTGCAGACTGTAATAAGAAGCGTGTTTGTTCATGTATGTTTGTCTCCCTTTTCTACCCATAGTTTGTACTTCTTCGATACAAGTGTGCAATAAGAATTTTATTTGTTCATTGGTCCATGTATGTTTATCTCTCATTGCTAATAAAAAACATACGGAATTCATAAAACCTTATAACAACTTTCAACATAACAACAACTTGTATTGATTAAACTAACGAATTTCAGCAAAGATTATTCACATTTCAGCAACAATTATGACACTTCAGCAACATTTTATGACATTTCAGCAACATTTCATGACATTTCAGCAACAATTCATGACAATTCAGCTACATTTTATGACATTTCAACAATTCAGCAACATTTTATGACATTTCAGCAACAATTCATGACAATTCAGCAACATTTTATGACATTTCAGCATCCATTAATGACATTTCAGCAGAATATGTGACATTTAAGCATAAATTTAAGACTTTGTAGCAAGAACTTATCATTAATTTAGATAAAAACAACATCATCAAAGATTTGATAACATTAACATCAAGGTTGAAAAAGAACAAAGATATCAACAATGATTCAACAACAAAAATCGAAAAATTAAGATGAAGCATAAAAGATGAAGTTGTTCCACCAAGAATATCGGAAAACTCAATATAAACCTATGCAGAATCGTTGCCTTCAGCAGCAAAAAACAAAAAACAAAATAACTTACCGAACTCAAGAAACCGCCGACGATGGAAGGAGATGGCGACCAGTGGGGGCTGCGCCGGGAGGAGAGAACGCCGGTGGGAGGTGCGACGGTAGGGCTGTAGGGAGGCTGCTTCTTGCGATCGATGTCTCGATGGTGGAAGAAAAGTATGCGGCGCTTTTTTTTATGGGGTGTAGCCGATTTTTTTTTTAGGTTTACGTTTGGAGAGGTTAGAAGAGATATATCAAGTGATGTCCCAAACAGCACACGTGCAGAGGTTTTTAACTTCGAAGTCTGCGAAAAAACAAACTGTTGTGGGATAAAAGTGTTGCGCGTGTGCTACGCCGCGCAGCACAAAGTGGTTTGAAAAGTTTTTTTTACAAAAAACAAACACCACCTAAGTCCGCTTCTTTGTAGGCCAAATCCTCCATCGATTCCTTCACCATCTTTGTATCAATTATGTATCTAAAGCGGCGAAACAAATCCCGATTTTCATCAGCTAATCAAAAGTTGTTGCTGAAGATTGACTAAGAAATCAAAAGAAAGCAGAAGCGAATGGATGGGGAATGGAGAGGGCCCACGGTAATCGATTCAACTGCATCCAATTGTTTGTGTTCGGTATTTCTCGACTTCAATTTTTTTTTGTGTTCGGTCTTTCTAAAATGAGAGGTCATGGGTTCAAGTCTCTTTAGGAGACATAAGTGGTTTTAGGAGTAGGTTAGTTTGCCGGTTCAAAAAAAATTCATGTTTTTGTCTCTGATCGATTTCAATCGAGTTCATTGGAATGTAGATAGTGATTGTGTTCATCAATTTTGGGTAACTGTGAAATCAATTTTGGTGGCTAAGATTGGGAATGAAACGTTGATCAGAGGTCGAGATGCCTAATATGTCCTTAGGCACACTACGTATTATTTTAATGATGCACCCTTTCGGTTATATTTTACCCTCTTTATGAAAATATTTGTTAAAAACTAAAAAGTATTTGGCTTATCAGGTGATCTGAGCGTGGTTGTCCAAGCCGACCTCCCGTAGAGGGCCCGATCTAATCATATTTATAAGGATGATAATATCTAAACCAATAGTTTAACATACAACTTTCCAAGTGCAGCATGTTGGAATTCTCAACTGTATTAGATTGTTATATTTAAATTTTATTGCAAATAGATGATTATTTTGACGATAGTATGGCAACCATAAACAACATTCTATACATATAACTCTTCACAAACTAGAAAATACAATTAAAACTCCAGAACCAAATGCTAAAAAAATCAACTTTGCATGCTAACTATTTACTGAATGGTGGATCATTAATCCACAAAAATACCATCTTTACATTCACCTTCAAGGGTGAAAAAGAACAAATCACAATTCACATTTCTAATTGGAAGGAAACTCTCAAAATGCTCACAGAATCATCATACCACTATCAACCTGACAGCATACTACGCATCTATACATAATTACATCTCCATAAAAGAATATTAAAAGGGGAAAAAATGGATGAATTATTTTGGAGTAACCAATCCTGATTCGATCACAAAATACCAATTCTTCACCTCTAAGTCATTAGAGGAATAAGAAGAAGCATGCGGTTTCGGGGCCCACCTTCAAAACGGAAACCATATCAAATCTTTTTCACTATTTTGGCACAAAGTAGGTTGCTATAAAGGGCGTGTGATTGGCATACATCATGGTGTTCCAAAAGATAAAGATTAATTAATATCTTGCAGCTTTTAAGAAGTTATCATATGGACTTGATGCGGGTAGTCTAAATGAATGGGGTATATTCTGGTATTCTTTAGCACATGATGTGCGCTTCACTGAAGGGGGTGCATTTTGTTCTAGGAATGGATGGCTTGCACGCTGTAAATACAAACAAAAATATCAAATGCCATAAAATATATATAACTTCGTTTTTTTTTTCTTTACCTACTTCATTAGATAATAACAGATTAATCATGGAATTTCAAATAACTAACCGATTGCTTGTTGATTTCAGTATCATTTTGATTACCAGGTCTCTGTTGAATACTCATCAAATTAGACATTCTCATCCGTTTTCCATTTACTAGAGCCTCACATTGATTTGTCATTTCTTTATAAGAAACCTCGGGTGTAACACTTATCGACATTCTCCCAACTTGTTGTGCAGACTCCAACACCTGTTCACACATCAACGTAATTAACATTAACATCATATAATATTATAAACAATAATCAGACTTTAAAAACAAAGTGTCTGATATTACTAATAAATCAAAAAGACTTACTGAATCCAACAACTGATTGATACTCAAGAGATCTGAAGTATCGGCTGTTGATAGCGAAAGCAGGTTGTCACTTTCAACTAAATCTCCATGCGACTCATCATCATCATCATCATCCATAAATAGAAGTGGAGTATCCTGAACAAAATCAACACCATATTTAATATATATCATAATAATTAAACTTACAAGATTTAACAATAATTACCTCGTCCATAGATCTATCATCTTCTGAATTCATCTGTAGTAGTGTATTTGCTGAACCAACATCATCGTCTGGCACAAATCCGTGTAGCAACTGCTCCTTAATGCTCGAAATTTCAGACTACACAGACAACAGACAGTAGACAGCAGACAGCAGATAAGTTACTAACAACAGGAATAACGAAAATGACAGTAGTAGTAGTAATAGTAATAGTAACAGTAAAAGATTTACCTCAGAGACAGTTTCCAAGTGCTTCACAATTATAGCTGCCAATGATTCAATTGAATGATCTTCTTTGAGTTTTACTTCTGAAAGTGATTTTAGAGCAGATCGATCATCTTCCTTAGATCCAAAACTAATACTGCTTGATGCAGGTCCAACAGTCAACTTGCAATCTTCAATCAAGAACAAATACGGATCCGCCTGGTACCATTGATATAATAAACACCAAGTATTTATGTTGTAAAGTTGGATACAAAAAAATAGTATTGAGAAAGTTTTCAAAATACATAAAACTTGTAGACATAATAAGAAATTTACCATTTTGTTAGCAAGATGAGATTTTGCAAGTGGAACAAGAGGAACAATACTGAATGCTTTCCCAGAAATAACTATCATAGCAGTTGCCAATGTGTAAAGAGATCTCCTACGTGATGGTGGTAGGTGTCCTGCAATTACATTAAGATTTTCTTTTATTTTTTGCACAATTAAATCGTGCACTTTTATTGAATTATATTAAGAAAATAATTTTCAGGCTTACCTCCTTCAGCAATAGAAATACCAAGCAAAGAAAATGCCAGCTGGAAACTTCTAACAAGAGCCTCACGTCCGGAATTCTGCATAAACTCCAGAATGAGTCATTCCATAACAATAATCAAGCAACATAAACGGAAAGGAATCAGCTATTACCTTTCCTCGAGAGAATAACAAAACCAGACTGTAGGTGTGAGCAATTGCTTCATAGTTTTCCGGTGTGTTTTCCGGTGAGATTGATTGTGCCCAAATTGAAGAAAGTAGGAGTGATATTTGGTGAGAACTCAGCCTAAGTGTAACTGCCTCCTGAGATTTATATTAAAAAAAAAAAAAGAATAAGAGAAAGAAAGAGGGAAGATATTATAAAACAAAAGTATAATGAAAGAAAGATTGTCACGTACTCCATCTTTGTTTAAATTCATTGCAGCATTGACATCAAGTTTCATTGAATAAACTCGGCTGTAACTCGGCTTGATTCCATTCAATGCTGCAGCATTATTTGATCTTTGTTCTGAAAACTTAACTTGGTTTTGGTTTTGGTTTTGGTTTCGTTGACTAACATTTTTGGACACTAAAGGCCCATCTTTTTTCAATTTCCCAAAAAGGGCAGCTGAAGAAGAAAAGACAGAAACAGTCCTTGATAGTGATCGTGGAACTGCAGCCTTTGGATCACTGACTGTTGACTGGATGTTTGGAGTTGACCGAGGGCAAACAGAAGAAGGCACAAGAACAACTGAAAAGATCCGATGAGCTCCCACTCTGGTTTCATGATCTTGATGAATCATTGCAGGAAGTAATTGATGGAATAGAGCTTCTGGAAATGCCTAAAAATGGATTAAAAATAAATGAAATTATGTTGGTGTTTCTCGCATTTAACCTTAGATGGATGTATATGTGTCCTTGCCTTATTGTTGTATGCCAAATTAGGCAATGAAGCTACAATTTGAGCAGTGCGATAAACAGCAGCAACTGTAGTTCTTCCTATAACTGTAATACTCGAAATGTTCTCCATCATTCCAGCCATAATGTCAAAAATTGGGCTTGAATCACCAACCTGTTTGATTAAAATAAACATTGTAAAAGGAAAAACAAACTTGCTATGCCCCCAGGGGCATTTTAGTCTTTTTATACAAACTTGTACCTTCGATGTTAACTCCACAAGGCATTTATCCACCAAATCATGAAACTTTTTGTTCCATTTGATCGTGTCTGCTCCCAAATCCGCATCATCAAGCGCCAAATGTACACTTTTTCTAAGATGTCTGATGACATCAGCAATAGCTCCAACTATCGCAACCGAAGCTTCTTTCTTTGTTTCTTGTGCAAGTGATGTGGTAACCTCTAAGATGTCTAGCTGCATATCAGGTTTTTTAAGTACGTTTTTGTGATCAAGATGCTTGATTAATATAGAAAGCAGAAAATGTGTGTTTTGTCCTGAAAAAAAAAACAACATATGAATGAATGAATATCTAGACCTAACTTTAATACTGAAATAAAACTATGTGTTATTATTGATACCGGATTCATCCATTATAATTTGCATGTCCTTGAGAACAGGGTAGGCAACCCCTTTTGAAGCAGGCCATAGATTCTCTGCATCAAAAAAACGGAATAAAGATTCCAAAACACGCCGCATTGTTGTACCTTCTTTCCCAAGTTTAGCCATGTTATGAAGACACACACGTGACCAAAAAGAAGGGTTTTTGGCATCAATTCTACATAAAGAAAAAAAAACAATCAAGATATATAAGAGTCCAGTGTTCACAAGGAGCCCAATCAATATTGGAACTAAAACTCATACATTGGAACAACTATGCTATGCCTTGAGGGCAATTTGGTCATTTTGGATTGTCATGTAAGGATTAAGATGGAACTTACACAGCTACATTTAGTTCTCCTTTTTCATTGACAATTGTTCTCCAAGATGGAACCTTTATCAAAGCCTCAGATGGGGAGACATGATGGTCACTTTTCAACACTTCTTGTACCCATCGATTTTGATTTGGGTCATCAGACTCTTTGTTCAAAGATCCATAATTTTCCAAAACTACAGAAACAATCTATTCCAAATAATAATCAATTCCAACATTTTTAAAAAAAAATCTGATATATATCAAGTGGAAGAGAAGCAAAGCAGGAGATGTTTTATGTTTATGCTTACATTGTCAAACTCTCCTGATATATGTGAATATCTACCCATGAACCAAACCTACAATACAGGAAAGAAAACATAGTCATATTAAATTAGTTTTGCACTATTTTAAATTTGTTTATTGTGTTAAAAAAAGAAGCATTTGATTGTATAAATTTAGTGAAAATACCATTGAAGAAAGAGCTTGCAAACCAGCTGAACGGAGTGCCTCCACTCTGTCATCTTCACCAACTTCTTGAGCTAACTGACAAAGATTTTGGATGAAACCTTCCAAATTAAACATGTAAGTTCCATCTTTCTGCAAAACACAAAAACTTTAATATATA